TTTTTCGGCCGGCGGTTGGCCTTCCCTCCCCGGGGGCGGGGGTGGGTTCCCGCCCGAAGCGAGTCGCCCGTCGTTCGTCGAAGTGCCTCTTTCCAAAAACATTGAGCGCCGAAGCCGCCCAGCCCTCCCCCCAACCGCCCCGCCCACCATTTGCCAACCCCCCCCACCACCCCACCACCCCCCCCCACCCCCCTCCGGCGGCTCTCGCCTCGGCCCAGCCCCCCGCCGGCTCTCGGCTTCACAGGCGTCGCATCCGCCCTCGCCATCTCCGCCTACCGTGAGCCAGAGGCGGGCCGCGCCGCAGCGATGCCGGCGCGCGGCCTCCCGCAACCCGCACCCCTGCCCGCCCCTCGGCCGCCCCCGACTGTTCCGCGCGGCGGCAGGTGATCTACGGCTTCATGCAGTCGATGATCGTCCTCCCCGTCCTGCTCGTCTCGTGGAAGGCGGGCTGGACGCACGCGCCCCCCTCGGCGCCCCTGCTCCGCGTCCTCCTCGAGTCGTGGCAGCCAACCTACCTCGACATGCAGCAGGAGCAGCAGCAGCAGCAGACCGACAGCAAGCCACAGACCGCCACCGAACTGTCGTCCACCGGCAGCGTCGGCGCCGTCTCGCCGGCGCAGGCAGCCGGGGCAGCTTGCGGTGCCAGCGGCCAAAGAGGCACCGACACCGACGAGGGCGGCGCCGGGAGCAGCCCGGCTTGCGAGCCGGATCTGCGGCCCGGCGGCTTGCGGTGAGGAGCTCAGAGAGATGGTGGGGGTGGACGCCTGCATATGTGAGTTGCGAGTCGATGCACGTGTGGAGAGAGAGGAAGGCGATACAGGAGAGCCCGTAGCCATGTGGGGACATGCACATTGCGCTTATTTGTACGTGCGCGCTGAGTACTCGAGGGATTCCTCTCTTTACTAGAATTGTTCGAGCTCTTGCGTTAGAGTGTGGAGTAGTTCGGGAGAGGGAGCACTTGGATCTCACACTTTTGGACTCGGTCGCCTAAAGTATACAAAATGCGCCTGCGCGCTGCGGGCGGGCGGACCACCCTCACAGTACACACAGATCTCACAGATCACTTGGAGTGCGGTCATTAACCTCACATCCAGCAGGTGTATTCTTTTTTTGCGTGGGCGGCACTCATGACGGGGTAGGTAGGGTAGGTCTGGGCCCTCCCGTCGGGTTTTTCCCTCTCTTCACGCCGGAATTTTCACAGCAGAAAAAGAAAATTTCCGGACAAATCACGATGTCAAACGTCCCCAAATGGGTGATCTGATGCTTGTAGGGCCTGAGAGTGGCCTGCCATGTCACAGGAAGGACTGTGGTTGCAGGAGAGTACCACCATCCATCACTTTAAGTTGGTATAGTACCCCACCTTCACCCATCCTGTGATTTCTTTTTTAGTTTCCCATAAGTAGGGTAGGTAGGTAGGTAGGTAGGTAGGGGCACCGCAGGGGCCGGCCAGGGTTTTTGCAGAATTTCAGCATGAGTGTCGCCCCAAGCAAAAAGTACACACACCTGTTTTCGCGCCATTTTTTGCTTGCTTGTTTTCATGTCTTTTTGAAGCGATTTTTTACTTGTTTTCATGGGAATTCGGCGTTGGTACTTGCGGCCATACTTGCGGCCATGCTATCACGTCTTGCGACATCCTTTCGGCGCTGCTGACCGTGCCATGCTGCTCAACTGACCGCCTGCATAGCTCGCGGCCTTAGTCTTCGGCATTCAGTGACGACCTGATCGTACGGCAAGTAGGAAGGTGTCCTTCCAGCGCGTGCACGCTTCTGACGCAATGCGCGTCACAAACTGCCTCGGATCAGCTGCTGGCACTCTCGAGGCTATGCCTACACAGCCTCGCGCGCATGGGCAGTCAAGAGGGACCATGCACCTTCTCAGGACAGCGCCGGTGCCTCTCTCTTGGACCGGCAAACGTGGTGGTCTTGTGTCACCAATGTGGGACCAGTGCGGCATCGCGCCGATTGACAGCTCTGAAACTGCGCCTCACCACTGACCGGGAAGGCCGCCAAGTGGGTCAGCACCGGTCGCACATTGTGGCAGCAGTCAGCGCGCATGTCTGATAGCTAGAGCAGCAGCATCAGGGTCGCAGGGTCGGATCGTGTCAAGCCTCTCGCCCGGCCGGCCGCGTGCAGACGTCGGCCTGTCTGCTGTCTCGTGTCTCTGTCTGGAGTGATCTGTCGGCGGTCAGTACGACCGATCAGGTCGGAGTTTTCTTATGATTGGAGGGTCTATCTGCATGTACTCCTGGAGATCTCTCCAAATTTGCCCTTTAACCAACGGTAACCATTCGGGAAGTGGGTGTTTTGAGCGACTTTGAGCGCCGGAGCTCCGTTTCCGCATTGGGGCGCGGCGCATGGTGCCTCCGGGGAACCCCGCCTCCCCCCAGAGAGGGGGCATCCGGGAATCAAGTTGGTGCCGGCTGGCCACCCCGGGCGCCGGGGGGGCGCTTCTTGTGGTTTTTTCACCTCTGAAAACTTTCGCTGATTGGGGAAAACTGAACAGGTTTTTTCATGGAGGGGACAGAGGGGACCCCCCCCCCCCCCCCGGACGCCTCCCATGATGATCATGATGTCGCCCCCGCTGCGCGCGGTCGCGAGAGGCGGGTGGTGGGCGCGGCGTGTCGATTAGATCGCGACCGCCTGGAGCTTCTCGGCGA